TTACCCTGGCCTGAGAGAGGAATGGAGGTTCGAAGTTGGGTGAGCTGGTCTCAAGTACGGCACTATTAATCCCAGTTCTGCACAACGCGCAATTCGGATGACCCTCCAATCGCAGCTTTCTTTCTCTTACAACTTCTTACTCTTCCACTACGTTCACTACTCCTTTCCAGTCAATCGCTTCCCGTACTTCGATGAAGGACTTTGGCAGCGGTCATCAATTACTGGAGAATCTTTTCCGCTGATCAAAAACACGTGAGAAAAGACCTGGAAGAATTCATGATGTCGGAAATGTCATTTAATAAATTTTTACCGCTAACCGTGTTTTTTATTGCTGGCAGCTATTATGGGTTCAGCCCGCATGAGTTGATTCCGAGTACTGTAGCTTTCCGTAACGGCACCTGATTTTGAGCAACTGGAGCCTTTGCGATTGGATCTTCATAATAGACCAGAATGAGAGCGTCTATAACCTCGCAAAGCTCTCATTCAGGGTTGGGGCGCTGTTTGGCTTGGAAGGGTCCTCTACACTTTCGCTAGTTTAAGTTGATTACCAGATACCACTTTGGGAGGACCTGTGAGCTCCTTTGATGCTAGGAAAGGATAAAAGTGAGTTCCTTGAGACACAGGAGTTTGCAGTTCTTCAGAAAGAAGACTGAGCTAGCTTGGCTTACTGCCTTCTCGGGGCCTCCGCCAAATCGAACTGCGCCTAGAGCTTGAGTCATGACCGTCTCAAAGGCACTAAATTCTGAAAAAATGGGAATAATCCTAAAAATATCACATTTTTACTATTTTGGCCACAGGTCTTTCTTATCTCGATGGCGCCAAGTCAAGCCAAAGGTCATTAAATCGGTCGCGTCATTAATAAAAGTGAACCTGTAACTTTTGTTGCTGGAGATAGAAAACATTTGTTATCACATTACCCATTGCAGTGAGTCCTTTTTTTTACTCCCTTACTGTTAATGGCGTCACAGAGCGTTTTGGACCGGTCTATGCCGATTCTGATGAAGAACGACTTAGGAAATAAAAAGGAAAAAACTGTTTACGTAATACCGACATATTTCGTAATGTCTCTTGCTACCCATAGAAAACATAGCAAGCGCTGGGGCTGAGCATTGTCCAGTGTCTGGAACTCAATGAATTCTGTCTTCATGAAGAATTGAGAGAGCTGCACACTGAACGATGGTCGATCCTACTTCCTAGAAACGGCAACGTCTGTCTGTCTGTCTGCCTGTCTGCCCGTCTGTCTGTCTGTCTGTCTGTC